TACATTGATTTATACGGATCAATTCTACTCCTAATATAAAGGGGAAACAAGTAAGTATCCGCAACGATATCGTCGCTTAATACTCCCCCTCAAGGTGGAGTGTGAATGTCAAGAACACCCATCTTGCCAAGTAGAGAACGGAATGCTGACTGTCCAAGTGGCTTGGTGAATATATCGGCAAGCTGCTGTCCAGTAGGTACATAGGTTGTCGAAATAACCCCAGAAAGTAGTCGTTCACGAACAACATGACAGTCAATCTCTATGTGTTTGGTGCGTTCGTGAAAAACTGGATTGGGCAGCTATGTGGAGTGCAGCTTGGTTGTCGCAGTGCAGCTTTGCTGGACCCTTGTGATCAATTTGTAGATCAGTCAATAAGTACTTCATCCACGTAAGCTCACATGTAGCTGAAGCCATGGCACGATACTCCGCTTCAGCTGAGGATCTCGAAACGGTAGATTGTTTCTTGGTTTTCCAAGACACTAGTGCACCTCCAAGAAATATACAATAGCATGTGACAGATCTTCTCGTAAGTGAACAGCGAGCCCAATCGGCGTCGCAATATATCCTTTCAACGTTAAACTCCCATTTGAAGGAAAAATAAGCCCTTGTCCAGGTGATCCCTTCAAGTATCGTAGAAGACGATGCACTGCGTCTAGATGAGGCTTCCTTGGTTGTTGCATAAATTGGCTGAGTATATGGACCGAGTATGAAATCTCTGGCCTAGTGATTGTGAGATAAAATAAGTTTCCCAACAAGCCTCCTGTATTGTGAGGCATTATGGAGAAGTTGCCCTTCCGTTGGAGATAATCTCAAGTTTTCTTCCATTGGGAACTTTGCAGGCTTTGCACCAAGTAAGCCGGCTTCATCAATAATGTCAAGCGCATATTTACGTTGTGAGATGGCGATTCCTTGAGAAGATCGAGCCACCTCCACACCAAGGAAATACTTTAAGTGTCCAAGGTCCTTAATGCGAAAATGAGATTGAAGAAATTGCTTGAGGTCATGGATGGCAGCCTCATCGTTGCCTGTGATAATCATGTCGTCAACATAAAGCAAGACGGCTGTAAACGAATTTCCACGCACCTTAGTGAATAGGGAGTAGTCAGCCATTGATTGCTGGTAGCCAGCTTGACCTATGGCAGTGGAAAATTTATGGAACCAGCTGCGAGAGGCTTGCTTAAGGCCATAAAGGGACTTGTTGAGTCGGCATACATTATGCTCCCCCTGCCGATGAAGTCCAGGAGGCAGCTGCATATAAACTTCCTCAGAAAGGTCACCATGAAGGAAGGCATTATGGACATCCATTTGATGTAAGGACCAATGACGAACAGAAGCAACGGCTAACAAACAACGGACGGTGATGAGTTTGGCAACAGGAGCAAAAGTTTCCTTGTAATCAATACCTTCGCGTTGAGTAAAGCCTTTGGCCATAAGACGAGCTTTATAACGCTCGACGGTACCGTCAGAGTTGTACTTCTTGATCTTGTAGACCCATCGGCAACCGATTGCGCGATGACCAGGAGGTAAGGTAGTGAGAGTCCATGTGTTGTTTTGTTCAAGAGCCAGAAGCTCAGAGTCCATGGCAGCACGCCATTGAGGATCACCGTTAGCCTGTGCAAATGTAGTGGGTTCGACAAGAGTCGAAATAGCACAAGCAAAAGAGCGATGTGATGGTGAAAGATGAGCATAAGATACATAGTGATTTAAAGGATAGCGAGTACCTGACATGGAGGAGGACGTGGCGCTGGGAGCAAGGGATTGCACATGATATAAATGGTATCCCTGCAGCCTGACAGAGGGCTTAAGGGCGCGGCCAGATTGGCGAGGGGCAGGTGGGGCAGGTGGGGTAGGGAGTGGTGGAGGGACTAAGTGAGGTTCGGTCGGTGTGGGAGGAGAAGGTTCTATGGGAGGAGCAGTTTCCGTTGGTGTGGATAAAAAAGTGTCGGTCGGTGTGGGGGAAGGAGGTGCAGTCGGTGGCGGTGGGGGATTAGGATGAGATAGGAGTCGGTGGGGATAGGTAGGACAGGTGTATCAGGGTGATGGTCAAGTGGTTGAGTGGAGAAAGGGAACGTGGTTTCATGGAAGATCACGTCACGAGTGGAAAAAATTTTGTGTGTGGTAAGGTCATAAACACGATAACCCTTCTGACCTAATGGGTACCCAACAAAAACACATCTTTTAGCACGTTGATCAAACTTATATGGTGAGGATGAAGGTTGGTAGCATAACATAAACAACCGAAAACCCGGAGATGCGAAAAAACGGGAGTTTGACAATGCAAAAGCTCATAATGTGTTTTATGACTAAGAAGAGGTGTAGGTAAACGATTAATTAAATAACATGCTGTTTGTATGCTTTCCCCCCAAAAGGTTTGTGGTAAATGGGCTTGAAACCGTAGAGCTCGACCAACATTTAGTAGATGACGGTGTTTCCGTTCAACAACCCCGTTTTGTTGTGGTGTGGACGGACAAGAAGTTTGGAATATGATACCCTTGTTATCAAAAAAACGAACGTAAAGAGGTAAATTCACCACCATTATCAGCCCTAAGTGCTTTAATCATGCAATTAAATTGTGTTTGGACCCAAGCAATAAAAGAACGTAATAACCCTTGTGTTTCGGATTTAAAACGCATGAGATGTATCCAAGTATAGCGAGAATAATCATCAACAATCGTTAAAAAATACCGAGCCCCCGAATGGGAATTGACTCGATGAGGTCCCCAAATATCACAATGTATCAAATCAAAAGGTGCTTTAGAAGAAATAAAACTGGACGGAAAAGATAACCGAGTTTGTTTAGCAAGAGGACAAATGTCGCATGTATGACTGGAATCAAAAACTATTGATGGAACTTGTTTGGTTAAAGTTTGCAGAGGACCAGTAGAAGGGTGCCCTAATCGTTGGTGCCAGAGGGTGGAGTTGTGGCTAATGTGGTGAGCAAGGCGAAGGTTTTGTTCTGGCGCCAAGTAGTAAAGCCCATTATATCGCTTACCCAGGCCAATCGTCCTCCTCGTATCCATGTCCTGTATCACACAGAAATCAGGGAAGAAAATCACTATGCATCGTAATGCTTCAGTAAGTTTGCTAACAGATAATAAGTAAACTCGAAAGTTGGGCACATGGAGCACTCCATCAAGTTTCATGTGTGGAGTAACTTGTATAGAACCAATCGAGTCTATCAAGGCATGTCCTCCATTCGGTAATTGAACAGAATCCAGCATGGATAATGACTTCTTGTCTAGCAAATGAGGAGAAGGAGATACATGGTCTGTTGCCCCACTATCAATGATCCAATATAAAGTTTTCTCTGACAAGTAAAAAGAAGGTGTGATTGTACCTGTTGCATTTGCAAAATGCTGCGGATTACCATCAACGTTGCTCTTCTTGAGCATTGCCATAAGTTGATTATATTCTTCTGTGGTGAACTTCGGACCGTCACTGGACGTTGCCTTGTGTCGTGAGTCTACACCCTTGGTGGTCTCGGTCTCCACCGTTACTTGGTTTGCCGCAGGTTTTCTTTTGTTTGGTGGCTTGACTGATTTGCCATGATACTTATGGCCAGGCGGGAAACCATACAAGTAAAAAGCATCGATCCACGGTGTGGTACTTTTGATCACAATATGAGCATTGAAGGGTGTTTCCTTTCGGTGCAGCAGTGTCCCTGTTACGGGTTATATTCATAGCATGCAGATTTATATTGTTACGATTTAGAGATACCTCTACTTGCTTCTCTTGTTGGAGAACAAGGGAATATGCCCTCCGAGTGTCTGGTAGTGGCTGCATCAATAGTATCTGTCCACGTACTGCTGCATAAGAGTCGTTTAAACCCATCAGGAACTGCATCACCCTTTCTTTCTCATCTCGATCATTTATCTTCTTCAATCCCCCACAGGTACAAGTCGGAGTTTCATTGTAGGATGCCAGTTCATCCCACAACGCTTTCAGTTTCGTGTAGTAAACCGAGATCGATTGTTGTTCCTGTCTGTGTTCAACGATCTCTCTCTCTTGATTTGATAAATGCGTGAGTCGTTTCCTTGTGAGAAACGATCTCGCAGGTCAGCCCAAACATCGGTTGCTGTCGTGTAATAAGAAACACTGCTCGCAATGTCATCGTGAACTGAGTTGAGAATCCAGGCAAGAACCATATCATTGCATCTTTTCCATGATGCAAATTGTTTGTCAGTCTCTGATGGAGGGTCGATGGTGCCATCAACCATGCCAAGTTTATTTTTCGCGCTCAAGCTGATTCGCATAGCACGATTCCAGGTATTGTAGTTGTCTCCTTGAAGTGTTTTGGAGACCAAGATATTCCCAGGTTGATCTGAGGGATGTAGAATAAAAGGGTTCGAGACATCTGTGATTGTCTCCATAGGGTTTTGGGTGTCAGTGGACGCCTTAGGTATTGGTTCGCCCATGGTGGTTTAGGTGATGTTGTGTTTGTTAAGATTTGCGGAAGCTGTGTGGGTATTCAGAGTCACCAGAAACGGTGCTCTGATACCATGTTGAAAAGTAACTCGGCTAGGGTTTAGAAATATGAAGTCTGGGAATAAACTTTGAATATTTCACATAGATCTTTTACAATAGAATACAAGACTTATAATACAAGGAAGTCTATTCTAAGAAGGAAATAAAGAAGATTTACATTGATTTATACGGATCAATTCTACTCCTAATATAAAGGGGAAACAAGTAAGTATCCGCAACGATATCGTCGCTTAATATCATTCGATCAAAAATAATAAATAAAAATTGACCAGCTCTATTCCCTATTTGTCACTCAATAAATCTGATCAATTAACCATGAATATAAAATTAATTAATACCATAAATATAGGGTGGTTATCCGCATACCTCTTTCTATATATCACACACTTCTTTCAATTTTTTACTATCAAATCGAATAAATTGACAAAATATAGTATGACTCTCTTTCCCCCTCTCTCCTCTAACCCCCAAGATTTGTTCAAAATACGAGTTTTTGTTTCTCCGAATCTCTTCCAATGGATCTCCAACAATCTCATCAGCCTAAGAAGCTCCAAAATTTCCCCTTTCCATTTCTAATCAGAACGGAACTTCGTTACGCAATCTCTTTCTTCCTTCTCCTAGTTTCTTCCTTGTTTATTCTCAGTCTCGTAACCCCATTCGACTCTCAGTTTCTAGCCGATCATTTGGGTTTCTTATCCCAAATCCTACCAAAAAATAATCACAAGTTGCCTCCAGGAACTTGTGATTATTCCTACGGCAGATGGGTCCGCGACGAGACTCATCCACTTCAGTCCTACACCGAGAACTGCCCGTTTCTCGACCCTGGCTTCCGGTGCAGCCAGAGTGGTCGAAAAGATGAAGGTTATCGGAGATGGCGGTGGCAACCGGCTGGCTGTGATGTTTTGAGGTGAGTTTGTAGTGTAGTTTTCAGAAAGCTTGGTTTTGCATGATACTGCACACTGCCATGCATACATTTTAGGTTAAACCCTTGAAACCATATAAACATTAGGAGTAGGATAGTCCTTAGAAATGAACATAAAAATAACTGCACTAGGACATTTTTGTGATTTAAACTTAAAAGTGTAGATTTTTTCCGAGTGCAGTTTTCTATTTCGTGTGGTAGAGCACTTACTCTTGCACTTGTAGCAAAAGTTCGATTTTTGCTCTCTACCCTAAATTAAAGAGGGAAAGATTTTGAGCTACTATAGTGCACTCATTGGTGTTACGAGATGTACAAGAAGAGCTAAGAACTTAGCAAATGATGTCCTAATCTAGTAGTTTAAGAGATTGATTTCAAAGGTTAATTAGTGTACTTAATAGAAATTAGTGATAATTTGATGGACTGAGAAAATCAAGGAACCTAATCAAAGAGATTTTATTCTTCCTCCCCATGATCTCAGATTTAACGCAAGCGACTTCTTGGAAAGAAGCAGAAACGGACGGATAGTGTTTGCCGGCGACTCCATCGGAAGGAACCAGTGGGAATCCATGCTATGCATGCTTGCAGAAGGGGCGTCCAACAAGTCTAGAATCTATGAAGTGAATGGGAACCCCATAACAAAACACAAGGGTTTTCTGTCGATGCGGTTCCAGGACTACAACCTCACAGTTGAATATTACAGGGCACCCTTCCTTGTGGTTGTAGGACACCCACCCAAAAATTCACCAAACCAGGTCAGGACCACAGTTAAGCTCGATCAATTCCATTGGTACTCCAAACACTGGGTTGGAGCAGATGTTCTAGTTTTCAGTGCAGGGCACTGGTGGAACGAAGGCAAAACAGCAAAGATGTACGACACTAGCTAGTTCCTTAAACTCGCTAACATGTTCCTAGTCTAAATATCTGACATGTTATGTTGTTAGATTCTTAATCTTCCACACATCTAAAAAGGGTTGCACCTTATCAATGATCTGGATTAACAATTTAACAACATAACAAGTCAAACCGTTAATTTACTCATTTTTCGTTATCTCTTCACAACTGGCCGTCTTGTGTTTCAGGGGCTGCTACTTTGAGGAAGACGGCAAAGTGAATTTGACAATGGGAGCGATGGAAGCATTCAGGAGGTCTATACAAACCTGGAAATCTTGGGTGCTCAAGAATTTAGACCCTCGAAGGACTCAGGTTTTCTACCGAAGCTTCTCTCCGGTGCATTACAGGCAAGTATCAACAGATTTCTGACTATGAAAACTTCCATTTACATACTTCAAACCAAAAGAATGAAAGGCAATTAGTGTAACTTGGTGACTTTACAACTTGCTGTTCCTTAATAGTTGCTGCCAAACATGGCGTAAAAGTAAGGAATTGATGGTTAATGAATCGATGAGGTTTTAACATGCGAAGTTGCAGGAACGGCACATGGAATGAAGGGGGTGGGTGTGATACCTATTCAGAGCCAGAAACAGACTACAAAAATCTTGCAGTTGACCCGGTGAATAATCTCTACATTTCTGAATCAATCAAACAGTTGGAATACGAAAAGTGGAAGGTCCAGTTCTTAAACATCACGTATCTAACAGAGTTCAGGAAGGATGGTCACCCCTCAAAGTATCGTGAGCCAGGAACTCCAGTTGATGCTCCACAAGACTGCAGCCACTGGTGCTTACCCGGAGTGCCTGACACATGGAATGAACTTATTTACGCTACTCTACTGGCAAAAGGATTCAGAACCAAGTAAAGAAAATGTGGCATACCTCAGATTTGAAAATTTATTTACAGACAACTGTACATAATCAGCATTGGCTTCTATTCAGGCTAGTTCCTCCACATTTTCGTTGGAACTGTCTTCACTGCTTTCCATTTCCTTCAGTTTCTCAACCTGCCTCAAGAGATTCAACCTTTCCGGACCATATGTTGATGGTATCTGTCAAAGAAACATTAGCACGTTCACGTTAACAAAACACAAGTTTGGTTCTCATGAAGAGTGAAGGAAATGAAACTCTTGGAACTAAAAGCCACATACCAGAGCTGGTACATATCTCTGAATAGCAGCCAACATTGCTGCATGTCCAACTGCAGTGACCTGCGAGACACAAGTTATCTCTATGCTAAGTTCCAATAGGGTTTAGAAAAAGTGTTAGGCAAAACAGCTAAATTGTTCAATTTTTATTTCAAGGTACAAATTCATTTTTATTTCTTTTCTTGGCTTGAAGATACTTAAAGCCAATTATGAACCCCCTTCCACCATGTCAAAGGAACGGTATATACGTTATTCACTTGCAATGGCACAACAATGCAACATAAACAGAATATCTGAAGCACGCCTTGTTATATGACCATAAACCCCCTCAAATGATAAACCACATCAGCTGGATGAAGAACTATGATGAGAATCCTATCATTTTATAAGTTTTTTGGCCAGAATAAAAGATACAAGGAAGAATTCTCACTGGAAGAAGCATTAAAACACCGATAGGAACAACTGATGCTAAGTCGGTCAGAGTTCTCTGTAGAACTTTTTTTTCTTTTTCTGTCAGTTCATCTCCAATCAAGACCCTTCTAAGCAACCCCATAGCAGCACCAACGTCAATAGCTAGCAATTGAGTTCCTTGCCACACATCCTGCTCATCAATTTTGAGATGAAACAAGAAAGAAAACTAATGAAAAGGAAATTACAAGCTGCGGAGAAGTCCTCCTATATTAAAAGTAAGAGTCCACATCCTGCTCATAATTAAGTACAAAAAACAATGAAGACGTCCACAGGCCATTAATAGATATCCTATATCCTAATTGGTTTGGTGGCAACTAAAATATGCGGTTAAAGGAGGCGTGGTCCTCATTCTGAATGATTTTTCTAGTCAAAGTATTAAACAATTGGAGCAAAACCAACATTAAAGTTCCTTTTCCCCCCTAATTTTCTTGGCCCAAGTGTAGGTCAACAATGTCTAACGAGTTAACAACGGTCACCATTTGCCTACTTAATCCAGAAAAAATTCATACCGTGCTAGCTTCTTTTAGCTTGTCAATCGATTTTTCAATGACATTCTCTTTCTTCTGAACCTGGAGTAGTTGAGCAGCTCCGACATCATCCTCATAGTTAGGACTATCATCAACAGACTTAAGATCCTGAATAAAAAAATCCATAGCAACATAAAAATTTCTTAAATCAGTAAGAGTTCAAATGACAGTCTCAAGTAGGAATTGTTTACTGGTCAATTTCTTTCCTTTTTGTTTTCTCCTGAATAATATGGTATCAAGTTGCATGCAGTGTGAGATATACCTCCTCATTTTCTGATTGATCAGCACTCATTTGCACCCGTTTTTCAAGTTTTATCAGCTCATTCTGTAAAAGTTCAAAACGCTGAATCTTACTTGATTCTGGCTCTTCAAATTCAATACTTGAAGCACTCTGCTCAATAAGTTCATTATCCTGTATTAAAGGATGCAAACATTAAGCAACTTGGTTTGAGATATTGCACATTTCCAATTTCCAACAACAAAATAGATATATGCTCCTGAATCAAGTGAGGCAATAGCAACAGGGAACAATCTCATAAATGAGAACGCCAAAAAGTCAGTTACAAAGGATTCTCTGCACTCAAAAGCTAAGCACATGCCTTTATGGGTTTTTTTTTTTCATGCCACAGCTATTCTATCTTCCTATTAAGGGACAACAAGATAGACTAGAAAACCACAAGTCAATAATTGAAACCTAACTTCTCAACCGCATTTTTATAAGGACAACAAAAGGAAGGAACACAAAATAATATAACACAGGGCTATTAAGAGAAGCAGCTACGAACCCAAAGTATTTATCATGCTAATGCAAAGAAACACTGCTAGTGGCAAATTCAACCTGAGTGTTCTATTAATGACCTTGCCCTAACCGAAAAAAACATGTCGGAGTAACATTAAGTGTTGTTAATTCTTGGTCAAAACAGATCTAAATTTGAGCCAGCTGCATACACAATCTTATTTTAGATACAAAAGTTCCAGTTAAAAGTTAATACATTTGGATATTAGATAGCGCAATACTATGTAAAAGTCAATGAAATCCTTGTGAAGATGGGCCATACAGATTGATCCCCAATCAACTCATGATTGGGCTTTCCAGTTGGACGGCGCATTAGGGAGCTCCACAAACTGCGAGATTTACTGACAGCTCTAGAAATAAATTTTGAAATGAGATGTGCTTATCAGAATACAACCAAAAAGAAAAAAAAGAGCTAAGTCATATGGAATAATAAAAGCTTCATAATAAATAAGAACTTAAGCTTCATACCTATTGCCCCCATTCTTTCTACTTTTCCTTTTAAAGAACTGTTGCTGCTTGTTAGTAGAAGACTGGGAGCGATTACCTTCCTGGATGACAAGAAAGAAAGTACAACTAATACAAGTCAGAATTCACAAAATCCAATGAGGGTAAAATGTCTCATAAATAAATATACAAGTGAACCTAAGAATGGAGCTTGGCATAAGAGAAATCTACAATTATAATGCATGGTCTGAACAGAGCAACTTATAAGATACAGTAGGTAAATTTGAGAGGAAGCCAAACAACATAATCTAAAAATGCAGGAAAGCCCCATCACAATTGGTGGTTTACATCCTCGAGTTATCTCTCAAATACATTCACCTATAACTATAAGATACTTTGAGGATAATTATTATAGTATATCTTCTATGCCAACATCAAGGAGCCAAGACATCTATCTGTTATAGAAAAACATGAAGAAAAAAAATGTCCAATAATGAACATGTACTTTGACATCTATACGTAGAAAATCTGAATAAATTGAAAAGAAAAAAAAAACGAAAAACCCCTGCAAAGTTCACCAACTATTAAGTAATAAATTGGTTGAATGGTGTGTTGGTGATCAAAACATTACAATCATCATATGAAACTGAAAGGGAAAAAAAAAAAAGAAAAAAAAAACCTGCTGAAGGGAAGCTGCTTTTGCTCGGAAAGATGCCTCCAGAAATTCAGCCTCTTTTTTAAGCTTCCTTATCTTCTCAAGGTCAGAACAAGCAGCTTGTATATGCTCTTTTCCTGAGTTCGAACTTGATACATGTAAATCCTGAAGCAACTTTTCTAGTCTTATCACGGCTTCTTCAACACTCTCCAAGGCCTGACACCAAATGCCAATTCCACAAAACAATCAGAGGCATTCAGCAAGTTCCTATGTGGCCCCAGTACTATCCCAAATATTGCCCAACAAAAGGACTGTTAAATAGCTTTCGTTTGAGGTGCTAAGTATTGAAGGGAAGTCTAGAGCCGATGAGACCATTTATGCATGAGTAACCGAAAAGGGTATATGGAGAAATAGTGGGGTAAAAACTGACAAAAAATTGCATAATTATACTGCACTTTGCAATGAACACAACTTAAAGGGAAATAAGCGCACCTTGTCAAAAGTATCCAATTCTTTCCCAGCTGGTGGATGAGTTCTAGGTCTAGTCCTCTCAGCAATGTTATTGCTATAGCTTTTCATATTTTCATTCCTGCATTGCAGTTTAAAAGGGGGGTGTGTGTGTGTTAGAGAGAGAGAGAGAGAGAGAGAGAGATGATTTTGCTACATTCATTAACTTACTTTAATATACGGCGTTCTTCCATACACTCCACCAATTTGTTGTGCCTAACCATTGAAGACAGAAAAAAAACCCTTTTTAAAAAAAAAAAATGAAGCCATTTACGGTTCAATCACTATGCACCACATGTTTTGCATACCCTCTAGACAAGAATCTCGCTGCCTTAACATTAGAAGGGTCCTCCAGCCATTTACTGTATTTGATAAAACTCTGCATCCACTGAAAACATACTTCTAAAGCTTGGGGAATTGCTTCATAATTGGGAGGTCCTTCCCGTTTACTTTTACGCCCATGTGATTGTTTTGGGGTGCCTGAAATGCCTGGAAAAAATGGAAGCCAGTCTAGCTCTTCACAGACTACCTGTGGAATTTATGCATCATTAGATATCGTATTTAAACCACAAAAGTGTATCCACAAGATGGTTATGACAACACATGCTAACCTCTACATACAATTGATAAGAACTTATTGATGAAAGCTGAGGATAGTATAAGATGCTGCCCCCAATCAAGAACCTGCACATATTGAAAATACTAAATCCACAAGGACCACAACCAAACCAAGAAAGCAATTACAAACTTATGTATCATCTGTCAAAAAAACCAGGTATACCTAACAAAGCCTCCAATCGGTTCAGCTAACACATCAAATCCATTTGCCGATAGAAAGGACTGTGTGCTTCTACCCAAGGCAATAAAGAATCCAAATATAGCCAGATCCCTCTCCAATACCTACACTAATTCAGTATTAGCCGACAATTACAGCATCATCGTAGTACAGCTTTGCAACCGTATATACATAAAGGCTCACAAGCCCCAATATATATAAGTAATCATCGATTATAAATATCGTAAAGATAAGGCCTTTCTTCTCACTTAAAAAGACTTAAGCAATTTCATTATCCGGTTCCTATATTAATTTTCTATTTCGCCACATCTTTATATTTATTCTCCTATTATTTTGACTGGCCAACCTTCATGTCTCTTAAAGGAGCTCCTAAGTGGAGTATCAAGTATGATCTACATATTCAATGGTTTGACCGTTAAGTCAAATGTTACACGTACTCAACACTAAATTATGAAAGAAATATAGTAGGAACGGCAACTCAAAACTCCACGTTCCTCTGTTACAATCTCAGATTTCCTAATTAGACAGTTCTGTCAGAAAAAGAGTACATACTGATGAGTAATATACTTTTATGCTGGCTCCATTACAGTTGATATAATATTATAAGGATGATAAGCCTGACATTCATGACTTACACTTATGCATTACACCCTCTTAACCTGCAAGTCTGTTAGCTTCAAAAGAGTTTCTATTGTGAACTTCCAATCAATAAGCAGCCTATGGGAAGGGTCACAGGCCTAAACATTGTCCCTGAGGTTACCTCAATACTTTCAGATGTTGTTAGTCTTGACCATATTCGTTCTCTATCTATAGCTCGCTGCAGCTGCCTCTGTACAAGATTCACCCAGAAAACAACTTCTTCTGAACCTTGATCAATTTTTACTCTACATGCTGCAGCTCGAGGACCAAAATGAACAAGGAACTCCCTGTGCAGACCTATATCCTTTATAGAAAGATAAGCCTGGTGTATAGGAACAAAATCAACCAGCATGTCCATGAATCTACCAGTTATATCTGGGATTGTCGAAAAGAAATGAGGGCAAGAAACTTTTGCTTGCCCAAGTTTTGTAATTGCGGCATTGCATGTCAGTGCAAGCATGAGGAGAGATATGTGACTAGCATTGCTAGACCCCAAGTGTGTTCCCTTGCTAGACCTGGAAGCAGATTGAATGCAGCATTAAATCTACATAATCTTCAAATCCATCTAGAAAAATTAAAATACACACTAAACAATAGATGATAACATACACATTGGTTGCAGCAGTATAGCGTGGGTCGCCTTCAAAATAATTAACGAAGGATGTTACCACCAACGGCACTTGCTCAGAGAAAAACCACTCATAAGCTTCAGGTTGCTTGGCTGATAGTTGATCCCGGATTAAGCTCTCAAGGGAAGCAGATTCTCTTAATATACTGCATCAACGAACTAATTAAACATATTGAAAATATTAAACCAAATAAAAGGAAATATTAGGGTTAATAAATCTATAAGCGACCAAAAGTTGAAAGAAAGAAAACATCAGTTACATTTGACTTTTGTATGAATGAAAACACATAACTGAAATTTCAAAGTCCTCAGTCTAGTTTTCCAATACTGACAAACAAATCAGAGCACGAATTTTCCACTTTCACGTTAAAAAATTAGTCCACTTAATTTTCAGTTTAAAAACATAAATTTGTTTCGTGTACACAAGCAGTAAACGCCATAAGAAAGTAAGGTGGTTGAAGCTGATATTTAAAACTCACCTAATTACAATTGTCTGTAAAAGAGATCAAAGTATGCCATTTTTATTGAAGTGAGAAACTGTCAAACGTCCTTAGATCAATACAGAGGAAGAGAAGAGACTCATACTTAGGCCCAAGTTTAAAAAATGCATCCTTATTAGCAGCACTGGCAATAAAGGTAATTACAGTTTGAATGGACTAGCTAGAAAACTGATAGGACAAGCTTCTAGTCAGTCAACTCAACTTCCACACATTAACTCATAATTTCTGAAATACAAGTAATGTAATACCTCCTTTGGACAAAAACATTTATGTCTCTGTCTCTACCATCCCCTCGAGCTGCAATCTCGCTCGCTGCTTGCAATAAGGAATACACTGAAGCCTGAGAAATCAACTCCAGATATTGAGAACTATGAATCGATGCAAAATAATTAGCTAAAAAGGTTCACCAGTAATACCCGTCAAATTAGTCCCACAAAAATGACCTTGAAGAAGGTTAAACCAGTTCCATATATAATATAAGGCAAGTAGATTTCATGATATAGACTAAGATAATGGATAAGCTAATAAGACTGGTATACCTTGCAGAAACATGGAATACCAGTCTTACTTATTTACAAATGATTAAACTTCTCCTACTAAATTACTGATTCAACAAGATAAGTGTGAAAGTCATACTATGCGAGACACAATCTGGAAGTGAAGAACAAGTTCAATAACACTATGAGACTGGCATAAACCAAGTAGGAAGGACCATTGAGTTTACTCATGCATAATCTCAATTACAAAAAATTAACAACTGTTTTCCTTTTCCAAGAATAGTAGTAGCATGCAGCGAATCATAAGATGGTCCATGCATGTTGTGGCCTTAACAAAGACATTCTAAAGTTCATGACAACCTGATAAGACAGTGTTTTGAGCCAGGCGTTTCTGTCTATGCTAAGCCATGCAGTTGAAAACCAAGAAGACGTTGACAATGAACCCTGTTCCTTCATGGCTAACTCAAAAACCCTGGCTGCTTCATGTAAATATTGGACAAGTCCATCACTAGAATCTTCACCTTGAAATGATTGATTAAGCTTGACTTTTATCTCCTCAACATCCCTACTGGTGCTAGCTTGGGGACTCCCATTGACCGTAACACCATCATCAGCAGATGCAAGTGGAACCAGGCTATCCGTTCTTCTAGATTTTAGAGAATGTAGACAGTGTTTCCAATTGCCCTCTGCTCGGAGATTAAGACTATAACAATTACTGTGCTCTAACACAGAAAATCTTATAAGGCATCTTCTCTTTGGATAAGCCCAGTTACTTAATAGGTGATCCAAATCAACCACTTTGTTGCAGGAATCATGTATTCTAGCTGGTTTAAGCGAATTCCATGGATTTGAAGAGCTGCAAGTACCAATCACAACAATAAGAAACAAACAAATAAAACATAACGACACGCCAAGGTGCTAGTGCTAACAATTAATAGCAAAACAATACGCACTTCAAGGTTATCAAGCCAGTACATAAACACACAAAAATCCGAAAACCACATAATCAACTCCAATTTTTGAAAAGTATAAGGATAACATGTGAACCAAAGACCTATGGATGCTCCAGTTAGAATATGCGATTATGAGACAGAGGCTCAGGGAATAAGGGGTAGAGGAGGACCTAGACTTGGAAAGAGACTCTAAGAAAAGACATGGAGTACTTGGCACTAACGAAAGACTTGGCGCAAAATCGAGTGCAGAGGTGTTCTAGGATTCATAGAGCCGACCCCACTTACTGCAATAAGGCTTTGTTGTTGTTGTTGTTTATCAGTATAACATACTACAACACAATTTACACATGATGCAGAACGGTTCCAATTCAAAACTCATCTGCTAGAAGGAATACATTCTCACTTTTTGCAAAGACCCAACAAAACCAAATCAAAATTCTTGACTTGTTACATCATCTACTGCTCAGAAGAATTGAGCAACTAACATTAAATTGGATTAAATCAAAACAAACCAACATTCAACGACACATCAAATTCTTATCTTCCTACTGCTCAGAAGCATTGAACAACTCATTAAATTAGATTAAATCAAAATAAACCAACATTCAACGACATGCCAAATGCTTAACTTCCTACTGCTCAGAAGCATTGAACAACTCACATTAAATTAGATTAAATCAAAATAAACCAACATTCAACGACATGACAAATGCTTATCTTCCTGCTGCTCAGAAGCATTGAACAACTCACATTAAATTAGATTAAATCAAAATAAACCAACACTCAACGACATGTCAAATTCTTATCTTCTTCTCTACTTTCAGCGTATCACTACCCAATCATTGATATACCGCAATTCACACAACTAAACATCACAATTCCAGTTCGTAATCGATATCGAAACCTCAGAAACCCTAAAATCCTAGAAATTAAATTTGCCAAAATTAAAATCAGAAGAAAAAAAAAATGCCGCGCAAAGGAAATGTGAAAGAGAAGTGGAACACCTTGGAGATAGAAAACCGTTGTGGTACAATTTAGTGGCCATGTAACAGCTGAGAGATGAAAAATTGGAGGGAAAACTTGTTTGGTTGCCGAGAAAAACACCGGGATAATGGCGAGAAAGTCAGAGAAAATTATTGGGGGAAGAATGCTTTAGGATTCTCTTCTCAGTTGGGCGGGGGCTGTCTGGGTTGTTTGCGTACACAGAAGAAGAAAAGGTGACGTGGCAAACGGGAATTATCCGCATACGTGGAGACAGGTGCGATCACATAACAGATTGTTGGCTGGCTCTCAGGATCTCTCCAAATCCTTTTTTTGTTGAAAGCACCCTAGTGCAACCATCCTTAGGCCCAATGGGCCTTTACTGGGCCTTCTTTTCTAGATGAATAAATATGGGCTTTCGCGTTGTTGTTTTTTCAACCATTGTCGTTTATGATTTGTAAACTCAAACCGTTTGGTATTCTTTCCAATCTCTACGCATTTTACTGCTCCACCGGAAATACCCTTTGCCTTTATCGTACTCCACCTTGGTAGTTTCCACTGCCTGTCCAAGGATGAGCCTTGGGATTTGACGGCAGACTTACAGACACTTTACGCCCAATCATTTCGAATAACGCTTGCATCCTCTATATTATCATGGTTGTTGGCACTGAGTTAGCCGATATTTATTCCCCAAATACCGTCATTGCTTCTTCTCCACAAAGAAAAGTTTCACGACTAGTAGGCCTTCTAACTCTACGCGGCATTGCTCCGTCAAGATTTCGACTATTGCAGAAAATCCCCCACTGTTACCTCTCGTAAGAGTATGGGCTGTGTATTAGGCCCAGTATGGCTTATCATTCTCTCGGACCAGCTACTGATCATTGCATTGGTAACCTCACCAACTAGCTAATCAGATGCGAACCCCTCCTCGGGTGGATTCCTCATTTTGCTCCTCAACCTATGGGGTATTAGCAGCTATCTTCAGCTGTTGTTCCCCACCCAAGGACATGTCTTACGCGTTACTCACCCATCCAATTTTATAAGAAATGTTATAGGTGCCAACTCACATCTTGAGTTTTTAAATGGGAGTTTTAACGAAAAGCCAGCAGTACTGTTCACTTTAATGAAAAACCACATTTTTTCACTAAAAAGTCAATCCTAGTACTATTCATTTTACCCTTTATTTTGTCTTTATCGTTAAAACTCAAAGTTTTTAAGCCATTTTCATAGTTTTCCTTTTTTAAATCCTAACTGATGTGACATTATAGTTGTGTTTTTTAATTAAAGCACTTAGTTGTTGCATTATATCCAATAATTAACCAAAATCGAATATGAGATATTTGACTAATATACACAGCTTCCATGCTTGTCCATCTATATTATCTTAATCCTAACATGGAAGTCTTGCTTACATTATGCTGAGGCTTTCACCTTCCTTGCCAGGATAAACATATCTTTTATTCAAAATTAAAAATTTAAAAAATTAAAAAAAAAAAAAACATGTCTTTATTTTGGTTTTTATTATTCTTCGAGTTTCTTAACTTACATTATCTTGCATGTGAAATTTTGTTTGTCTAGGGAAACAAAAGGAAAATATTTTTATTAAGCTCGAAATACATTAACATTTGCAACAACGATATCAAAGAAGCCAAAACGCGGCTCAAAACTATCTTATAAGAGCATTTCCAAAGAAAACGTCAAAATGCCTATTTAAGCACTAACAGTAAAAAAAAAAAAAAGCAGCAATAATATTTTTTCAATTGAAAAGTCAAATTTGATGTGGTATGACATAAATTGGCAGCCTTCACCCTTGCTGCCAAATTTGAAAACAGCTTCAAATGTTTTTAGTTGATTATTAAATGCATTTTATTGAATTTTTTTATTTTAAAAAACATTAATATAATAATTTAATTTGACTTATTGGCTAGAGAGCAAAATTTTAAAAGATGTCAAAGTGGCGCATAGGCTTCAAATTGAAATTGGGTAGTGCTATTCACTCCCCTTTTACCTGTAGTACACCATTGTTAATTTTTTACCATTGATCTTATACATTTCATTTAATCTGATGGTTGAAAATTGAGAGAGATGTGTGAGAAGTAAAAATAGATGTATGGATAATGGATAGCACCACCCATTTAAGTTTATGTTTAAATTTTGACATCTTATTTGGATATGTTTTAAGAAACTCTCTCTCTCTCTCTCTCTCTCTCTCTCTCTCTCTCTCTCTCTCTCTCAGCAGTCACGACATGGGCTACTTTGTTTCCTTGTTCCAAACTTGAAAACAACGGCGAAAAATTGGGAAGCTGTTGTTATTTTATTTAGACCGCATAAAGATAAACACAACACTCCACTCTATCCATTAAGATATAGCTAAAACTCAAATGTCAATCACTTATATAATTCAATATAACTGTGATTCATTTGCATAGCAATGGTCTTCATATCGGCGCATATAAATGCATAATTAATAAGTGAACCTACACAATCCAATCCAATTGTGAATGTATATTGGAACGTCGTTTTTTTCTTCCAAGTGCTGATATTATATATTTTAATTTATTTTATTTTAATTTTGAGTCATTCGGGAGACATGAAATCTGATTTAGTAATTAATTAATCTTGCTATGTTCACTTGTTTTCTATAAGGTTCTTGGTCAGAGGAGCATCTTTCACTGAAGTAAACCCAATCTTTGGAAGACGTTGCCTTTCTCGTCACGATTAATTAGACTTTGTAACTTAATCGCATAAGAGATTAAAATGCTTCTGTGAGTCTTTTCGACTCTCAAAATGGTAGATTATCATGGAAAAGCCAACAGCTGGTCCTCTATAAAATATAAAATAAAATAAAAGAAACTTTGTAAGTTAATCGTCATAACTGCATTCTCACCTTTAAAAATAACTCGAGGTTCTGAGTTCGGTTTTATCTTTCCCAACTATCACTTGTATAAAAAGTAAAAATTAAAATTTTCAAAGAAAAATGTCAAATTCCATGCACCCTAAAGTAGTTTGAAGCATTGGCCTCGATTAGTCAAGGATCATCGACTGCTTGGACACAGTAGTGTTCTCTAGTATCTCGTGTAGTGTCGTATTTCAGTGTTGTGTTATGTGCTTTTGTGATCATACAACACTTTTTCTTATTAATTTGACATATATCTTTATCGTGTTAAGTCGCATTTCCGTATCCGTGACCATGCACCGTAGCTCTTCGGACTTGCGTACGCTTTAGGCTTCAGTCCCAGCCGGCTGATGCTCAAATGCCTTAACGTTGGAATTGTTTACTTCTTGTTTGCTCTAGGGGCTTTTCCTTCTAAATGGCCAAACTCACAGCGTCCAAAAGCCATTCTCTCCTAGTCCCATACACCTACCCTTGAATTTTATCCTCTACTACTTGTCTGAGCAAAGCAATGCCAACATCAAAACCCAACGAACTGACAAATACAAGTAGAAAACCCCCACATAAAATAAGTTGAGTTCTCTCAATCAAAACTCACATCTCAACTAATCTCGAAAAATACTTGGTTTTTTACATATAAAGAGTTGTTCCTTATTGCACATATATTAGTGTTAACCTTAGTGTGACATGAGTTACGTTTGACTGTATATCATTAACTTAAAAGAATAAAGCTCGTTACATGTAAGAGCTTAGCATATAAAAATGAACTAATAAAATAAGGTAATATTTAAGCACAGTTCTTAAACTATTATAGCCGGTGTCAATTGACATTTGTTGTCTCCTTAATCTTATGTCGCGAGTTGATTAGTAATTAAATTTAACAAATTCAGATCCTATCCAGATCTCGTAGTCCAAAGTCGATGGACCGAGAAATCCAAACAATTCAAGGAGAGAGAAAGATCCGGACCTAGTTTGTGTGACATGGGCCAAATGGGCTAATGGTGACCGTAGGATTTAAAATGAGCAAGTCTGAATTTCATGATGGAGAGGAATCACAACCAAGTGCCCATTCAAATTTAACATAATTATTTTGTTCATGACGGAGAGGAATCACAGTCAAGTGATTCATAATAAAAACGGCAAATGTGGTGGGAATAGAGATGGTACCACCAACATATAACAAGGATATGTAAATCTCTATTAATTTGATAAACCACATGGATGGATATATAAATCTGCACAAGTTTATTGACATTCAACCTGCACATGGATGTATCATATATTTACCACCAACCACAGCTGCGCTTATTATTATCAGACACTTAACTGCCCGCTTAATTAATTAATCATATGGGCCATACAAGTTCAATCCCAATTAATTCATGTCAATTTCATTGGAGGCACCTCAATCCCAAGTTGATTTGCCTAAAATAATAAGAGAAATGCTAAGGAGACTCTCAAAGTGGTATTTTTCGTTAAATCTCCATCATCTTATATTTTGTGTGAAAAATATGAGGTGACAGAGAGTTCCTGAAGTGTCCCACTTTTAGAAGTCTCCTTAGCATTTCTTAAATAATAATACCACTTGATTTATAGAAGCAACGTTCTTTTGAAAAAATGAAAATGAAGCGTCAATGTAAACACAAAATTTTATGCGATGAATAACATAAAAATACATTTATAAGAATAATATTTATATTGATGGATTGAGGTTACAATATCTTTGGTTTATTCTTTTATACGAATATTCCTCTTATTTCGATCTCCAATATTGAGTTTGATCTAAGAGTGACGAGCACTTGATCTTGAACCAGGATATAATTTGGTAAAGCGTTATCGAGGTTTGATCTTGAACAAATTGGGACGACAAGTAGTGTCGCGTGGGGGGTGATCTTCAGCTTTGGTGGTGGATGAATCGACCCATATTTGTTACGCTTGTTGATTCTCCACGAGCTTAATGAAGAATACAATAGTGTTTGTGTGTTTGGTGTTTGTTTTGGCTAGGGAGCTTTATGGTTTCTATTGAGCTTACTTTGTTTCTCCTCCCCCCTATGAATAAGTGCCTAGTATTTATAGGCAAAAAATTGAGCTTAGTTTGGTAGACCAAAATTCGATCCCATAATTTGTAGAATTAGATTTTTTATTTGATTTAATTTGGACTAATTGATTTAATTTAGGAAATAAACCTACACGATACAGTTTGATCGAATTAGGACTAATTTGTCACGTTTTGTACTTGATTTGTCCTGATATAATTTGATCAAATTGGTTGCAAATGTTCACACGTGTCATTCCTGATCGGAAACATATTTCCACAGCCAATATGTCTCTTCATTTATATCAAGAGTTGTTGACTACTGAATAGTCTGGCTTTAGCAGGCACTCGATGTATTAACCAACTAATGCATGACGACCGATAAAATTTGAAAATTAAACAAAAAAATTGGTCTTAAAGTCCACTTTATCAAACAATCTCTAACCCTACACTGCCGTTGAAAATGACTTGTTCCTATACTTTAATGCAGAATGAATGATCAAGTTTGAACGTTATGCTGCCTCAGTTCGACAACTCCCTGAAAGCGTGCTTCTTACCTATTGTCAATTAAGTATAAATATAAAAAGTTACCATCAAAATGGAACGATTACTTATAAAAATAAAGACGTGTTACTGACAATCTAAAAAAAATGTTATTCACTCTTATTTAGTAAAAATACAAAGAAGAAAGCGAACACAAAAAAGTGTGAATTGATCATTTTGAAATGGGAAATTTGGAAAAATAACCAAATTTTAGATCTCATATAGAATTATAACCACTATTTTAATTTTATGATAATTATAACCAAAACTTGATGTAAAAGTATTAATATACCCTTAATACTAGGGTTTCTCATAACAACCACAACACAACCTTTAAACTACCTTAAAATGTTGAGGATTATTGCAGATTGAGGCCACTGAATTAGCTTTCTCTTTAATTAGCAGGACAACCTATGAGAATGTTCTTCAGAATGTATTAATTCCATGGCTAATTATTATTTTTTTAATTAGATACTTCGATTTAGTGTTTCACTGACTAAATTGCATACATTCCGATATATTTTTCCAGTGGATGAAGAAAGAATACAAAATTGCACATGCAAAGTGAATAGTGAAAACAAAAAAGTGATGAAGATTAATTTCTCATTTTAGGATAGTTTAAAGGTTTGTTTTGGTTGTTATGAGAAACCCTAATATTAAGGGTATATTAATACTTTTACATCAAGTTTTGGTTATAATTATCATAAAATTAATATAATGGCTATAATTCTATATGAGGTCTAAATTTGGTTATTTTTCTAAATTTTCCAAATGTCAATACCATCCTTTTCTTTTATTACAAACAAATAAATTAAGTACAATATTTGTGTTCACCCTATGGGTGCATCCCTTTGTTTCCCCGAGTGTGGTTCACATATTTAAACGTGCAAATGTCGCAAGCAAAACCATTTATTCATTTCTTAATCATCTTTTAAAAATAATTTGAGAAAAAAAGTTAGTTAAAATATTGTTTAGTAATCCACATATGTATGGTACAAATGTAGAATTCTTTATGAGAATTTCAATTGTTATAAAACTCGCTTTATTTGATTTACATATATAAATGAATAAACAATTGCTATTTTTTTTAACAATACTACACTAAGGAGTAGAGGAACGGCATAAGCCTCACAATAGACGAACCTTAATAATGTGGTTTAAATTGGTCTTTGGTGATAATCGAACTTAAGACCTCTCACTTACAAGTTATTACTAGATCGTATTATTAAGTGACAATAATCGTTAATTAATTTGGACAAAAAAAAATACAATCGTTAATTAATTAAATTTTTGGAGAGAATTTTAAAATGATGAAGAAAATGATAGGGTGATATCCATAACGGCCCATAAACTATTCGTAGCTAAAAAAAAAAAAAAAGAGGGTGTATTTATGATAGGGTGAGCCCGCCTGCCTACAATTATCAAATTATTATATTGTATTATTCAATATAATTGAATATACAAATCAATCAACCTCAGGAATTAAAAATCAATCTTACATGCTCCCCAACCTATCTATCCACTTAAAAGAAGGATTAAATTAGGGAACTGCTATTAAGGCTTTAAAAATTTCATTTTGAAGTGTAGAATGAAACATCTTAAAGAGGTATTGATTATGATTTATGGCATAACCACCACAAGGTGGCCCAATTGTTAGGAACAAATTCTAGACCTATATTACACACGGCACATCATGAACTTAATTTTTGGTGCTGAGAATCATACGATAGTAATCAGGAGAGGCTGAAATGTCTTTGTGAATCTTCACGGGCCTAAAAAGATGGATTGTTGTGGTGGAGCCATTAGTTGGTTCTTTTTTTTTTTAGAAAAAGAAAAGATTATGATTTATGACATTCATAAAAAAAATTAGAGTATAAAAAAAAAGATTAGTGGGGTTCTCGGTGACGTAAGGGATGATTTATCTGATTAAAATAAGCTAAGTATGTGTCATCATCTCTATCTCATTGGCTTGGACCCTCGACCTTTTGAAAGCTACCCTAAACCTTTTCAGTTTGCGTGAGGATTTTCCATCTAAGATTCCACTTGGAACTTGTTAGTAAGCTCAATTCATATTTTTTTGTATTCAGTAAGGTTCCAACTTCCAACCATGAAATATTCACCCTACCATTAGATGCTCCATAGGATTTCAAGTATACTTTTTTCATGTTAGTTGGAACTTGGAAGGAATCTAGTTGGGGAGAAATTTTTTATTGTGCTCTGAACATTAGTGGTACATCATATGTTATTATATAAGTAACAAGTTAAGATTTTTTGTGTGGAAAGGCCCCTCAAATGCGTAAGTACTTTGAGCTCAGAACATGAGATAATGGAGTAATATGCATTAAAAATTGAAAACTAAATTCAACACGAAGAACTAAAAACATTGCACAAACTCAGAAATCTGAATATGAGGTAAAAAGTAAGCGAGAATTTTTTTTTTTTTAAATATAAGTTAAACCCAAAGAAAATTGACAGAATAATAAGGAGAAATGAAGATTGCACCTCAATAAGAGGGATGGAGAGAAAAATTAAGTCTCGCCTGGAATAGAAAAAGTTTAAATTGGGAACACGGTTAAATTTTAAGGATATTAGATCGATGTGTTACAGTATCAAGAAGAAGAAAGAAAAAAACAGAATGGATCAGGGACTATAATTCCGACCGAGCAAGGGGCGTAGAAGCGATTAATTTGGATGAAATACAGCTTTTGCATTTTACAAGTCAGGGCTAAGTGGAGTAGGAGTCAATAAGTCGATCAATTCCGACTGAGCAGTCAAGCCAAACATCAGGCAACCCAGAGAGAAAAGGGAAATGGCATTCTCGTTATTAACTCCGAAAATGAAGGGCAATAACCAACGAGCTCCTCACTTGAAAACTCGTGTCTTCGTTGCGTTCGGTTCCTATATAAACCCCAAAATACAAACCTCTTTTCTTCAGTCCTGAGTGTACCCCCAAACTAATTGGAAAAAGCAGTCGGTCCCCAAATGGCCTGCTCCTCCCACCTACCGCCGTTCGCCGCCGCCAACGAAGCCAGCTCCGCCTCAATCTCCGCCGTCCATCCGGACATAATCCAAACCCACATCCTCACCCGCCTCGACGCCCCCACGCTAGCCTCCGCCGCCTGCACCTCCTCCGAACTCCACGCGCTGGCCTCCCACCAGCTCCTCTGGGCAAACATCTGCTACTCCACATGGCCCTCCATCACAACGCCACGTGTCCGCCAGGTCATCTCCACGTTCCCCGACGGGCCCATCTCCTTCTTCTCCGACTCCTTCCCGCTCCTCGGCAATCTGAACCCCACCACCACAGCCGCAACCTCCTCTGGTCTCGCGCCAAAACACCATCAGGACCATCCGTACGAATTAATCTCTGCGGTCGATATCTACCACCGCGGGAAGCTGATCCTGAGCAAGGTCATCGAGACGGAGACCGTGACCGGGTGGTTCCGGTGCTCGCCGTTCCGGATTGACCTGCTGGACCCCAAGGACGTGGTCCCCACCCATATCAAGTACCAGGAGGGGCTGGAAGCCGACACGTGTCGCGAACTCGGGGACGATCTCACGCTGAGCTGGATCCTTATCGACCCTACCGGACGTCGGGCGTTGAACCTCTCCAGTCACGCGCCGCTGTCGGTGAAGCGGCACTGGCTGAGCGGTGAGTTGCACGTACAGTTCGCGTCGATTCTGGCCGGGCAGAAGGGGACGGCGTCGGAGCACGTGCTGTGCGGGATATTGGTCACGTGCGGGGGATCGGAGGGAGGGGAGATGCAGGTGAGGGAGGTGAGCTTGCAGGTGGAGGACATGGATGGAATGCATCTGAATGGGAGGGAGGGTTTGGTAATTCTGGATAGGGCGTTGGAGGGCAGAAGGGGAAGAAAGGGGAGGAGGAGGGTGGGGGAAGGAAAGAAGAGGTACGAAGAGTATTTGCAGGGGAAGAAGGAAAGGAAGGAGAGGAAGCTGAGGACTGAAGGGACATTAGATACTTTGTGTGTGGCTTTTGGGGTATTTGGATTTTTCATTTTTTGGTCATATATTTTGTGCAGATGATCATTGTTTTTTCCTCTTTTCAGCTATTTTCTTCCAATAAGTTAGGACAAAAAAATACTTCAAAAGAAAAAAAATAGAGAAACCGAAAAACGGTTTTGTTATATCGAAACGTAAATTAATCTCAAAAGAAACACGTACTGAATTATGTTTTTTTTTTTTTCATCGCAAGAAATAATGTAACTGTTCTAACTTAAACGAGAAACTTGCACGAAACGAAAATATCTTTTTGGTAACCGTCTTTCTTCAAGTATAAACATATTAGGGTCAGTTCAGAAAAAAAGAGTTATTCAACCAATTGTCTCGTAGGTAAAGTATAAAATATCGATGATATCAGAAATATCGGTAGTTTAAAAACGCGGAAATTTCGATGGAAATATCGGAATATAATCGATATCGATAAAAATTAAATAAAAACCATGAAAATTGTAAGAAAAACTTAGAAATTTTTATTGAAACTTTGCATGATGTTTATTTAGTCAATTATCTATTAATTTATCACAAAACATTGGAAAGAAATGCATTGTATAATAGATATAACTGATTTAAGTTGATTGTATAGCGAACTGGCAAACATTGTGAGTGTATAAAATATGTAGTAATTAATGAAAAAAGTTTAAATACACCATAATCATTTATATATAATGAATTAGTATAATATTTTACACTTTATACATTGCATAGTAAGATACATGAGTGACTTAGCAAGGTCTAAAATATCGATGATATCGAAAATATCGGTAGTCCAAAAATAAGGAAATTTCGATGAAAATATCGAGATATTATAAATATTTTAGACCATGCTAGGGTGGGTTAGATGAGAAAAATTAAGATTCAAATCTTATCCCATTCCCCTATATGGCTACATGATAGCTGACGACTCTATGGCTATGTAGATGCCATGCCGATTGCCATGCACATTTTGTCCAAATTAATCCAAATTATACTCTTCCAAAAAAAAAGTCCAAATTATAACAATAGCTCAATTTTCTTACAAATAACAAAGGACATTTCTTTTTACATCTCACATACTCCTTGTTAATTTTTATTATTTGATCATATTCAATTCATTTGATCCGACATTCGAAAATTAAAATATATGTATGAAAAGTGAAAATGACTATGTAGATAGTATCACCCATAAGAAATTAGAAGAAAATAAAATGCGAAGGAAAAATCCGTCATTACACCGATATTTCCAGGAAAATATCTGTTTTTAAAACCACCAATATTGACAAACTAATTCACTTCCCTGCAGCCCAAGTACAACTAAATGAGACGGTTCACATTACGATTAACATTTCAAGAACATGCATGCATTCGTGCGAGTGACACAAAACGTCCCATTTATAAGTTTGACATGGATTTGCAACTCTACCAAACATGTATGGTTAATTTATGAATGCTTTAATCTTTTTTTTTTTTTAACAAACGATATTATCTACATTAAAGAAGATGAGTGACTTAGCCTCATAAATGGGCTAGCAATAATATGATTCAAACTCGCGTTTGGCAAGAATCGAACCTAACACATCTTACTAACAAGTGAAGATGAATATTACTAGACCGTAGTACTAAGTGGCTGCTTTAATCAATTTAAATATCTATCAACACCAATATTTCCCCAAAAAACCGATATTTTTGTTATTAAATGTAGATTGCAGGGGATGAATGCAAGTAGCTGAGTTATGAAGAAAGGCATCTTAATCAAACATAAGAAGGCCAAAAAAAGTCATTACTTGTACGTCACCTAATTCAGCCTGCAATTAAGAATTGAGGGAATGGTTGGACTGTAGAAGGCCTTGATTTGCCCTTTTTGTGACTCGACAGAGAATGAATCGCCAACAAAGCTGGTGGGCAGTGAGGCGGTGTTGAACTTAGATTTTGTTTGTTCTCGAGCAAAACAAAAGAAAATAAAACACAACAAATTTTTAGTTAAATTCTCAAATTTTAATCTTAGATAAAACACTAAACATGAGATAATTTTCAAGAAATAAGCAACAGTAGTTCAAGACATTATCTAAGAGTTAACCAAATTTCAATCGAATCAACTTGGAGTGTAGTGTGTGTGTACTAGACATGCCAATGCAATTTCAAGCTTCTTAAAATCATCATATGCAAACAAGTAAACTTCTTACAAGGCATACACTCATTCACTCATATATGTGGATTAACTTGTTTCATTCAAATGATCTCACAAAGCATGCCGCCATATGCTTGCTTGTCCACCTAACTCAGTATCAATATCAAGTAACTTCTTGGATCAAAATGACTTTTATCGGGTAATGGGGTACAAGGATGATAGGCTAATGAAAGAAAGGTTATGGAAAAACAAAGATCTAAGAAACTTGTAGAGCACTCCAAATTTTCCTTTTAGAGAGAAATTCAAATAACTTGAAAGCAATTAGAACTTAAGCACAACTTTACAATTTTTTTCTTCTTCTTTCCTTCTTGCAACATATAGCTTTTTTTTTTCTCAAACATTTTATTTTTATTTTTACGGAACTACTTTCTTTTTCAACTTTTCTTCTTTTACTTTTCACTTCACTATTTTTGCTTCATTAACCAATAACAATGAACAATGTTGAACTCTCTTTCTTTATAAAATTGCTCTACAAAATCCTTAGAAAAGGGTACGAAAATTTTACATGAGGCTAGGTAGGGAATATTTAGGTTTAAGAACAAAAAGACTTATATAAAGGCTCAACGGGGCTAACTAGGGAAAATAATAAAAAGGGTAGGCTAGAAAGGCTCAAACGAAAGAAAAAAAAAATGCCTAAATCACTTCCAAGTTTGTTACGTACGTGAATTGGTGGATGTAATGAGAGGTATAAAGTAAGTTCTAGAGATACATGTAAAATGAGATCATACACACAAGAATGATGAGATTGATGCATAATGGTTCAATCATAAAATAGGCTCAAAAGGATTACATCACTAAATTTACATATGAAGCTTTATATCATGCTCTAGTTTCACATCAACAAGGCTATGTGCATTTGTTTTTCCAAGTCATGATCATATACGGTTAAAACAAAAATAATGTAAAAAACCAATGTCAAGCTTAAATTTCTTGAAAGTTATGAGAAAATAAAGACCAAATCTCATAATTGAATTGGAAAGTAGCCAATAAAAACAAGACTCAAAGAAAAAGAAAATGTTTTTGGATTTTTCAGAAATTTATATATTATTTTATGTATTTATTTATTTTATGGGTAAATTACATAGTAACCCCTCAAGTTTGAGGTCTATTACAATCTCATACAACATCTTTAAAACATTTCACTTTTATATGTCACGTACTATTTTATTTCAAAATAATATATCCGTTAGATTTTCCATCCATTGATCCGTTAAGTGCTGACGTGGTTGCCACATTTGTGCCACGTGGCTACCAAATGTGTGCCACGTGGCTACCAAATGTGTGCCACGTGGTAAAAATAATAATTTTTTATTACCCTATTGAACAAAAAAAAAAAAAATAATAATTGAAAACCCATAATTTCATCTCGTGCCTCCCTCCCTCCCTACACCCTTCATCTCTCCCTCTCCACGCCACTTCCTCCATCCCTGCACCCTTTATCCCTTCCTCGCCATGGACAAAGCATTGCAAATCCCTACAATTCCACGTGCCATGGCTTGATACAAAACTCAGCAAATCCAAATCCAAAAACCCATTTAAAAAAAAATTGAAACCCATAAACCCATTCCCTCGACCCTCCTCCCACTCTCCTCACTCTCTCTCTCAAACCCCAAACCCCCCAGATCCAAAACCCACACAACTTCGCCGGGTCACCACCGCCAACGCCTTCCTCTTCAGCGGTTCGACCCTCCTCCCACTCTCCTCACTCTCTCTCTCTCTCTCTCACCCCAAACTCCCCAGATCCAAAATCCACCCAACTCCGCTGGGCCACCATTGCCGGTGCCTTTCTCCTCAGCGGTTCGAACGGCTTGATTGGATGAACTGGATGCTGGAACGGCGGCTTGGGACCTTAAAGATTGGAACTTGCGGGGGCGGGGGTGTCGGTGGCGGGTGGATGGAGGAGGCTGTGAGGAGGGTGAAGGAGAAATGACAGATGAAGTGGGAGGTGAGCAGTTCGGTGGTGTTGGGATTGGGGGTGGGGATGAAGATGGTGAAAGGAATGATTTTTAGGAGGTAGAATTTATGGGATTGGGTTGCAGGGAAAAGGGGAGGCTCGGGTTGGGGGGTTGCAAGGATGGGGTTTTGGGTTTTCAAGGTTTTTTTTTTTCAATTGGGTAATAAAAATTATTTTTTTTGCCACGTGGCATTAATTTGGCAACGACGTAGCACAAATGTGGCAGTCACGTCAGCTTTTAACGGATCAATGGATGAAAAATGTAACGGATGTATTATATTGAAATAAAATAGTACTTGAGGTATGAAAGTGAAATGTTTTAAAGATATTGTATGAGGTTGTAATAAACCTCAAACATGAGGAGTTACGTAATTTACCCTTTATTTTATTTTTCTACAACTAAAATGAAGAAGACTAAAAAAATGAAGAGAATAGTAAAGAAAATAGACAACAAAGGTACATATAGAAAAATTAATCAACAAATGGCACATCCCGGCCCCTGCCCCCACCACATCCCGAACTTGACTCCACCGTAACACGATATTGTCCGCTTTGGGCCTCGACCACGCCATCACGGTTTTGTTTATAGGAACTCACACGAGAACTTCCCAGTGGATCATCTATCCTGGGATTGCTCTCGTGCGAACTCGCTTAACTTCGGAGTTGCGATGGAACCCGAAGCTAGTGAGATCCCAAAAGGCCTCGTGCTAAGTAGATATGAGAATATACATATAAGGCTTAGAGGATCCACTCCCCTGGGCAATGTGGGATGTTACAATCCACCCCCCTTAGGGGTCTGACGTCTTCGTCGACACACATCCGGCCAGGGATTGGCTCTGATACCAAATTGTCACATCCAGGCCCGGGCCCCCACCACATCCCGGGCTCGACTCCGCCGTAGCACGATATTGTCTTCTTTGGGCCCCGACCACGCCCTCACGGTTTTGTTTCTAGGAATTCACATGAGAACTTCCCAGTGGATCACCCATCCTGGGATTGCTCTCGCGTGAACTCGCTTAACTTCGGAGTTCCGATGGAACCCGAAGCCTGTGAGCTCCCAAAAGGCCTCGTGCTAGATAGAGATAGAAATATACATATAAGGCTTAGATGATCCACTTTCTTAGGCGATGTGGGATGTTACAACAAAGCTCTTGGACAAAGAAACTTCCCGGGTTTAAAGGAGACATGCAAGCGAAGATGTAGAAGGCAATCTACCCCCAAACTTGAATTTTGTATTGGCAACAAGGTAAAGTGGCTCCATTTTTCTGCAAAAACAATAAAACAATGGGTAAGCTAACAAGAGACTTAGGAGAATAATTTTTTTTATTGAAAAAAAAAACTAAAAAAAACACTAAAGCTAAACCAACTAAAAAAAAATGTAACAATCCAATTAAGTAAGGAATAGAATCAAATTCAATCCCCTGCAACGGCACCAGAAACTTGTTGCGTAAATTAGATAACAAAAATTAACCTTATTAAGTCTCAAATTTTAGTGCTTGCAAGTATATGAATCGAATGATTGTATAGCATATAAGCATGGATATCGTCCCACAGAGATCGAAGTGATTCTAAAAGTCATACTAACTAAATTGGAACAAATTGTAATTGGGAAGCTTTAACAGAAAAGATAGAAGATTTGAATTAAACTAAAAATGAAATATGACTTTAAAATAAAATACATGAAATAATAAAATTATAAATATAAGAAAATAAAACCTAGGGCATCCGAATTCACCGTAATCAATTCTACTTAATTCCCTTAATATGTTATGCCCAAGTAGTTCTCCAATATTGTTGATCGATTTACTCTAAATTATTCAACAACCATGACATCTGGTTGCATCAAAAGTTTCCTTACATGTTAACCATCTATGACATCTAGATGAATTTAAACAAGTAAGAACTCATTAAGCTCTATGGAAATTGTTGGAAAATAACACAAACCCTAATTGTATGGCATCTACAAATAGGTGGTTATGGTATCAATTGCAAGAAGCTAAACCCAAGTTAAGTATGTCATCTAGTCTAACTTGCATCAAACCAACCTAATTTAAACCTAAATGGTGATCAAGCATCTAAATAAAAATTAAGTGCATTACGAATAACAAAAGATATTGAATAAAGATGAAAAAGCAATTAAGTATTCATGATCAGGCTACATTGTAGCCCTAGCAAAGAAAAACTTAAAAGTAGCTCTTCCTCTTGGCCTTCCTTGCCGCAGCCCCCTATGTAGAATAGATGATTTTTGGTTTTGTTTTTGTGGCTGACTTTTCACAAGGAGAATGAATCTCCTTAATATAAAAGCCACGGCAAGGGTATTAAAGGCTAATTGAAATCCAATTAAAACCCCACTAAAATCCTATCACTAATGGACTTGAAGTCCTTATTAAAGAAAATGAAAAATAAACGGAAATAATAAAAACTAGAGATTAAGTTCACTCCTAAATTCCATTGAATAGCATTCCCATCTCTATTTGATTCCAAAACTGCTCGGTTTCATCTTCTTGTTGTAATGCACATGTCTTCGCGCAACTAGTTAGCCTCTTGTTCCACTGAAATTACTGTAGACACCTGAAATCTTCATTTTTCACTTCTTTTTCGCGTAACTCCCGTATTGAATGCCTATAAACTAAAACAAAATAAATTAGTGCATTTAACCCATTCATATAGACAAAATCCAAAGGAAATCTATGATAATAATATATGAAAATATGCATCCATCGGTTAACTCGCGACGGAAGCCATTTACAAATAGCCAACAAAATCCTCTCCTGATCCTCTTTATATGATTCCGAAAATTCGTGAATCGTGTATGTTCATTGTATATTGTGTAGTTAGTTTTCATTAGGTGTTGTTTGTGTTCAATTTTAAATAAAAAAAATTAAAATGATTTATAACCGCACGATGTACGATGAACGAACATGTTTCACAGAGCCCCGAAATCCGGATAAAAAAAAAGGAAGGGTGATGTGTTTTGTTTTCTTGAGAGGGTATGGAGCGGAAAGGGATCCTTTTCGGATCCCTTCCACCTAATCATCCTCATCAAACAATACAGGCCCTTGAAATTTGATCTAACGGCTAAAAATAGGGGCCCACTTTAAAAATTATAATAACTTTAACTGTTAGATCAAATTTCAAGAGTCCGAATTGTTTGATGAGAAGAATTAGATGAAAGAGATCTGAAGATGATACCTTTATGTATGGAGCCACTTTGCAATAGTTCTTTTCATTTGTCTTATATATTCAACGACACTTCAAATTTATCTATTAATTAGTTAGAATAGCGCAATTTTAAAATTTATGTCCGGATTCCTTTCCGTATGGAGCCACTTTCCAATAGTTCTTTTCATTTGTCTTATATTTTCAACGACACTTCAAATTATTTTTCTATTGATTAGTTAGAATAGTGCAATGTTTAAAATTTCTTTGATACGGTTGATATTTTCTTGAAAATATCCAAAAAATTAGAGAAAGATAGGGGGTAAAGTCTAAACTTCACTTATATCGGAGAAACTTTTAAATTTAGGTTAAAATTGTCATATATCATCGATATTTCTTATACATTTTAAATATCAGAGAAACTTTTATATTTCATGTAAATAAATGTTTGATAACCTCTGAAGTTTAATTCTAAATTTCTATTATTTTCATTGAAAGCAACCAATATCGATGTTCGATATATCCGTCATATTTTCACTAATTTGCATGTCAAAATTTCCACCGATACCGATATTTTAAACATTGGAGTAATTACAATAATATTGTTTTAGAACATTTCCAACACCCTCAGTTGTTGCATGTTTTTTTTTTTTTTCCAAAAACGATAGAGATATTTCATTGATCAACCAACCAAAAAAAAAAAAAACTACACAAATCTAGTCCGAGAAAGAATGAAACCACTAATCAGCTCCATCATCAGATTCATCACAACGAATGATAAACGGGCATCGTCACCACTCCTGGAGAGATCTGCACAAATCACATGCCAAACAAGGTGTATAATAGGAAGGCTGGACCCAAGTGAAAAACAATATGAAATCAAGGGTCTTATCTTCCCTCGGTCCAACGAGACTAGTGTTCAGGGTTGAGCTAAGCCGCATAATGAGTCAATACTATTTTCTTATCAAACTCATCGTGGAGTAAAAGTTGAGCCATAGACCTCAAATAGGGGCCAATGGGGGCCAATTTGATCAATACACCCAACATTTAAATCGGTTGTCTCAAAGAAAATGACACTTCAATGTCTAGTTCACTCGGTCTCCACTTTATTAGATGAGGTTTATGAGAGATTTTTCAATGTACCAAGAACATTGAACATTGCCATACCAAAGAACTTCGCGTATATCAGTATATGCGAGAGAACGTCGCATGGAAGGTCTCTCTCCTGGTTTAGGGTAGGGCGCATGAAAACAAAACAAACCAAAAAAGTTTGTGTTGGAGTATATCAGAGGTGCCTTACACAAGTTTGAATACTACTAGTACAACCAAACCACCTAACGAACCAAAATTACTCATCCAAATTAAACATTGGAAATGTAATCAATTGAAGAAAAAAAACTCAAGTGTTACAAACATCAAAGTCCAGGGGGAGATACATACGGATTAACAAACGGGCCAAGTGAGTGCCACCCTTGCAACCCTCCCGAGTAAGTAAATTCCTCATGAACGTTGACCAGCTCGGAGCGGAGAGAAGTTTTAAACGGATGTTGCACCTTATGCTGCTGTGCTGCCATTATTCCTGAGGAACAAAGTAGAATAACTATATACACAACTTATTCTACACGATTTTGTACTCGATTGAATTAGCAGAGGATGACCACACTGGTTCCACTAAGTTATCATGTATGGTGCACTTTCAGCAATGCTTGGTATATCATGTCGATGAATTGATCGTCCTAGAGAACAACAATACACCGAGTCAGTCATGAGAACTTTAGATTGAGGATGCTTAAAACATCAGAGGGCAAATGCTCTACTGTCAACAACCAAGAGACAGGTACAGTCCACGGAAAACATAGTAGGATGCATCTATAGTTGATACACCGACTTCTTTTCTTTCTACATATCAATACATAAATAAGCAAGACTAATGCCGCCAACATATGTACACAAATTCATAAAAAATTTAAAAAAAAAAGATTTTTAAGAAGTAGCCGTGCTTTGGACCCAAAAATAGGTTAACTCTGCTCACTGTATGTTGGGTAATTATTTAATGAAATACAGGAGGTAAATCCAAGCATGAAAAAGAGTCAAAACATGAAAATACCTGAACAAGCATTACAAGTGCTTCTCGCACTTTTCTCTGCTAACAAGAGGCCCGTCACTGGGAGCAGGAGGAGCAGAATTGGGTGTTAAAGATGGTGGGGGCGTTGGTGGTGGAAAGGGTTGAAGCATTGGGGTGCCATAAGGGCGTTGCAGGTTCAGGGGTGGATGAAGTGCAGCAGCAGATGGCACAGATGAAGAGGTAGGTGGTATGACCAAAGGAGGCGAGGAAGCAGGGAGAGGGAAGAAAGAAGAGGGCTTTATAAGATTAGCGACCCGATTGTTGCTGGTGGTTTGGTCAGAGGAGCCATGTAGGGGGGGGTTGGCGTAGATGGGACTGAATGGGAAGGTGGTGGTATTTGTGGAGTTGGTGCAGGAGGTGAAACAGCACTGGGTGCATAAGAAGGAGCAGGAACAGTTCCAGTAGACTGATAGGGCAGTCTTGAATTTGTGGCATCTGAAGCATTATTTCCAATATTCATTGCTGCCTGCAGTAAAGATGAGAGGACAATATGATTAGCCATCAGTGGAGACAAGCTACAATGAGTAAGGAGATAAGGAGTAAAGACAACACACCAGAAAAGAATGACATGCTAACATCCAGATACATCATTCTCTTGGGGTCTAAGCAAATACATCATTCAAGTTTTTCAGAATGCTCATATCCCAAAAAAATAAAATAAAATAAAATAGTTTCTTTACACCAATTTAGCCGAAACAATATGATTTGTAATAATTAGAGCATCATCACGAACCGTAAATTCTACTTCAGTAAAGACAGTTTCTTAATTTTAAAAGAAATAAGCTTTTATTCATTTCACATGGGCATTCACTATGAAACATCCCTCGATTTCAATGTCGTTCGAGTACTTAAGCTCACACCCAAACTCTTTCTGTAATCAGTATAGCTTCTGAATCAGATTTTCGTTATTCAGGAATCCGACAGACAAAAACAACTGCCTTTGTTATCCCAAAATTTCCTCAACTAACATCTCTGAGGAATAGGATTGAAATAAAGTCCACTCAACTTCAGCACCTCCAAATACATTAGAGAGAGGAAAACGCTTAGGAACCGGGTGCAATTCATTCAAACAACCCAAACAGTGAGTTCTTCAGGTATGCCTATGACTTAAAGAATTTGCACCACAAAAGATTAGAGGGAGGGATTTAAAATGACTGGATGCAATAAATTGAGAGGGATTTGCAAATGACAACTTGAAAGGATTCATTTCTAGATTCAAATCCCTTTATCTAATAGGGGTGTGCTATCCACACACCCCTTGTTAATTTATGTCCGTTGATCTTCTTCATTTCATCTGATCTGACGGCCGAAAATTAGAGGGGTGTGTGAGAAGTAAAAAGGAGTGTGTGGATATCACACCCCTATCTAATATTCTGTAGTTTATACCTAACTAATTTATCCTACATCACTAGGTACTTTCAAATCCCTCATCCATAGGGAACATTTCCTACAGAACAAAGTAAGCAGATCGGAAAACCACCATGCATGAAATCATACCAGGTAGTTTATAAAGGAAGAATCTTCAGGTGCATCAGTGACAGCAGGGGCATTCAATGATGGCTCCAACGGCCCTTCCATGACCAACATGGATGGGACTGCTTCAAGTTCTTCAAACTCACTACAATTTAATAAGCAGAAAGTAAACCAGATGCAACAATGAAGACACAATTTACTCAATAAAAAAACCCAAGATAATGATGTGACTCATGATATGCAGAAAAAAATGGTATTATATATTGATAAAAGAGAAGATGAAATACAGAAATATTAGAAATTACTTGAACTTGAGAAGACGAATCATACCAACGATAGTATCAAACTTAAGAGGCCCTTGCCACCAATTATTTATTTTTTGCAGAAATATATTATATAAGTTATCTAACATTGCAACAATCCATGATGAAGTTAATTTTATGTGGCTAAGATTGAAGAACAAATTCTAAATCTGAATACAGAAAGTAATATAATATAACACAATTGGAGCAACAAAGGAGAAAGGGGGTAAAAACCTTTTGGTTGAAGATATTTTGGACTTGGGAGGAGCCTTTGAGTATGCATTCAGGATCCTGTAAAAAGGAAAGGCATTAGAATACAAATGCGTAAATGTCACATATCTACATCCACATAGCTTAATGTAGACACGAAACTAAGGTATCCAGTAATTCCAAATCACCATTTTACTGCTTTAGATCCCATGCTATGTTCTCTGTTTGCATGCATATCCATATGTATCTTATGCATGCATCTGGGTCACACTGCTATTGATAACTTCAACATTTAACATCATATACTGTCCTTTTGTGTTACACATATATGTATTGCATTTGCATAACTCATAAATTTTCTAAAGTCAAACTCTTCTAAGTGAAAATCTATTGTGCAACCATATAATCATAAAAAAATCTGTAATGTGATATTACCATCCTGCAAATATGTGCTATGCAATTAAATGTCTATAACTCTTTATTAGAAACTAATAAACAATTTGTGCACAAATGGGAAGCATAAGAATTATAAGAAAAATATTGTACCTAGTAAAGAGATTCGCAACTTCCTCACATTCACGAGCATTATAAAACCAAATGCCATTAACTTCTTGGGCAGCATTTCTATACAATAAATATGGAACTTGAACTTCATACTCAAAATCTCCCAAGAGATTCTCCACTAGGTTATCTGTATTATAAAAGCATAAAATTAAAAATATAAGAAAAACCTAGAGGGACATATGCATTGTTGTATGTAAACATATGTACAACATATATTACCACATAATTAGAGGAGTTCATTTTTATAGATGATCAAATCAGATATTCTAGGAAGACTGTGTACATGACTTCCTAATAAGAATTCTATGCAAAAAAGAATGACCTTATACAAAAGTACGACAAAATAACACACTTTTACAATTCCAAGATCCTCTTTTCCTGAGAAAGGAAACAAATTTTACGTTGTGTTCTCAAATCATGTGGGTCACGCAAATTTTATGAGTAATTAGGGAAACAAGTTCCATTTTGATCAACTTTATGACACTTTAGAGTTTAGACTTTAGATTTATCTATTTCTCAACTTTGCACGAACATGAATATTATGTCACTCTGAAAGGATCGAATATTCCAAGCTTCTCATCAATAGATATAAGCAAATCTTGAGAATAATTTGCATATCAGTGGCATGCTTGAATGATAAGTTTAGATGTCTTATTTATTTTTGTGGAAGACCAGTAAATCATTTATGTTTATCTTTGCTTACAAGCTGTCCAAACAATTATTTAAACACTGCAGATAGATGGTAATGTAGATTGATACAAACAGTAGCAAACCATTAAGTCAAAAAACAAGAATTTAATTTAGTGGTAAAACGAGCAGCAATCTATACCATCATACCAAATGGAAACCAATTGCCCTAATCAGCATTAAAAGACCATGTCTTTCAGCATAAAATTACATTGACAATAAAGAATTCGTACCTGTATTGCGCCGATTCATAACGATGAACTGGAACCGCGGTTGAGTATTTCTTAACAATACAACAGTAATACGATTAGGCAACCCAACTGTCAGTATAACTAACCCAACAAAAAGTAAAAAGTAAAAAAATTTACCTTTTAACAACAAAGAGAGACCCTTCAACATCCTTGCGACTCTGCAAAACCCAGAACGTAATTAATTAAAAAAGTCAACATTAATTTGGATTAATTATAAAAACTCTTGAATCTTCATATAATTTTCTGGGCAACCAAACAGGGAAGTGGAAAATACGGTTTGGGAAACGAACCCATTGATTGCTCTCGATGTTGAATTCGTAGAAGGTAACGTGGGCAGCCGTAATCAGAATCTCTTCGATGAAGGGGTCGATTCTCTGCAGCACCGTGAGATTGAGCATTTTGGTGCTCTGCTGATCGAGATTCGGCATCAATTTCCCCGTCTGAGACATTTCTGATTGGCTCTGGAGAAACTTAAACCCTAGCTCCGGTGATTTTCCTTTGAATTTTCCCGGGAAAGTTACAGCAGCTAGGAGAGCGGAGGGAGAGGGGAGAGAGAGAGAGAAGAGGTGAGCGTGTGATGGAAGAAGAGCACTGTTTGTTGCACAGGTTTTGCTTTGCTTGCTTAATTCTGTGAATTTACAATTATGGCCTCGCCTCCTCCTTTGGTTGTTTTATGGGCTCTAGGCCCATTTTGTCAAGTTCATGCGGATCATAATCTAGTTTCTCAAAAACAATAAAAAATTAGCTGAAAAAATAATAATTAATCTAGTGTTGTAGAGTGACGAAGAATTTGTCGTGTTTGTGTTGTGTTAGTTTTTGTTCGTTTTAGATGTTCAGTCGATTTTTGCAAGATTTATTCTTGGTATAAATGATATTATTGGAGATGGAAGATTCCAATACGAGATCTCAGATGAAAAGATAAACACTCTTAATTACTTGAGCTATAAACTATTAAACACTCTTAATTATTTGAGTTATAAACTATTATACATTTGGATCTTTATTTTGATTGGGGAAGATAAAGGCTTACTCCCTTGATACCAAAGAAATAGGCTGCCTTGTATAAATCAAAGTTACAAGAAAGAATGAAATAAACGAGAGCAATGGAAATCTGCAACTTTTTTCTTGATAAATTTCTTGTGATTTTATTTTATGTTCACTGGTTGTTTACATTTATGAAACTTTTGATTCTCTATTTACCATTCATTGCTTACAAGTACCACGTGATTGTCTTCCGGTATTAAGCAATGCATCAATCCGATGTTTACTGGTTTCTTCTTGTGAGTTGTGAGTAATTGAGGTTAAGATTATTGCTTTCAACTTGAGATGTTATAGGGTAAAGGGGGGAAGAAGTTGCATAATTTCTTAATTATCGAAGAAATTAACAAACTAAAAATGCCTTTCGATGCACAGAGGAAACAACCATCCATTTATTGGCAACGTAGTCTACTCGATCGAACCTGTGGACTTCTATCTACAAACCTCGTCAACTGTTGTCCATGGAGAGAGAAGGGAGGTGGAGCTGAGGGGGGAGAGGGAAGAGAGGGGGCACGGCCGCACGGGGAGGAGAGGGGTATGTGAGTTTTTAACTCTCGACAACATATTCAAGAAGTCTAAAGTAAGTAAAGAAACCTCTAACATATTCAAGAAGGCTGTATCTTCTTCGGCTGACTGTCGACGGCCATAGACATAAGCATAGTCATCAGCATCACTGCATGCATGCATACAAGTCTGAAGTAAGTAATAACCATTTATTAAATTCTCCATATTACAGTAATACATAATCTAAGTACTTAGTAGTTCATGTTACTTATGGGTACGTATGAGTCAAGTACATATGGTTATCAACTTACCTAATCTATTAATTAAATCAAGTTTTGGTTGAGTTTTATTTTGGTGCTGTCTTAAATCTTGTCATCTAAAAAGGTGAAGAAACTCGGGAATTATTATTGACAGTTCAAAGATGTCACTATGCACACATCCGTGATCAATGGTAAGAAAAACTAAGAGAGAGAGAGAGAGAGAGAGACTACGGGCTGGTTTGGTATTGTTGTGCTTTGAAAAAAAGCTGCTGTGAGAATAAGTGGTTGTGAAATAAATCAGCAGAGTGTTTGGTAAACTTTGTAAAAGTGCTTTTGGAAAAAAAAAACAGTTTGATAGTGGGTATTTTCATTAAAGGAGCATTGTAGCTCCATGTGCTTTGAAAAAAAGCCAGTTTTCCAAAGCTGCAAATAGCAGCTTCAACTTTTTCCTTTGATTTCAGCTTATTCTCACAGCAGCTTCCAAAATAAGCTTTTTTTTTTCAGTTTACCAAACACCTAAAACCCTCACAGCTTTTTTTCATGAATGCTTTTTTTTTTAGCACCCCACTCCCAAACCACCCCTACGTCAAACTCAAAAGGCGACTATTTCAGAATCCTAGTAATCCCAAAATTAGAGTAAGAGATGACTGAATAATGTACATAGAGAATAACAATAACTTCAATTACGATATTTCTCCATTGGACAAAGTAAATTACATGAACTAAAACCAAATTCACAAAACAAATAACAAGTACAGTTTGTAGAAAAAAAACACCAAAACAGAATCACAACAACGTTTGCAATTAATTGTTTGAAGAGCTTTAATTATTCTCTTCCATCTTCTTCTTCTTGTCAGTGATGCTTTCGGAGAGCCAAAGCAGAGAGCAGAATCAAGAACATGAAGGTGACGACAGTAACGAAGGAAGCCACCACAGCCCCACTCACGTTCCGGCAGAAATCACCAAACTGGTTGCAGATGGCTAGCCAGTTGGAGCTTGCATTGCCATTGTGGGCTAGGTAGACTATGGATGTTGCAGCCCCAGCAGCAGAAGTGGCTAGAGTCAGTGCCACCTGTCGTGATCATATATACAAGTATTATGCGCGGATTAGGAAAGCCACTTTTGTGAGTTTTCAAAAAAAAAAAAAAATAATAATAATAAAACGAAATGGTTACCATATAAGCTTTAAATTAATGAAGTTAGAGAGGGTAGAATTATAATTACAACGTCAAGGATGAGGAGCAAGAGCCTTGGTCCACTTGCATGGGGGCGAACAATGGAGACTATGGCAAAGGGAATTGAGAGCACCAAGTATCCCGCTACAAGTGACATTGCTATCAGGAAAAACCTGCATGCATGGATATTTGTATCAACGTTTCGTACAATATACAAGGGTAGTGTCGTCTTTCTCAGACATTTGGAATTTTTACGTAATTAAATTGTTAATCTGGCTTCATCTCTTCTGATCAATTATTCAAATTGACAGTTTGACAACATAATATGTCAAATTGCCAGTCTTACACTATATACAATAGTTCAGTTATTCGATGATCTAGAGACATTCTAACAATGTAACATACCAAATATTGAAAGGAGGATTGAAACATACTGAAAACTAGGCATGTCATCATAGCTAGCTTCAAACTGGAAGAACTGGGTGAAGAAGGGAAGGTTTTGATCACTGGTTCCCATGGTCGCAGCAGCAGCAAGAGCAGACACTATAGCACCACTCCTCAAAACCAAGTCAATTATGGCCATCCCTCTCTTCATTCCACCTTTTCCTTCCTTTACAGGAACCATCAGAATGGGCCCTTTCCCTTTGGATGTACCACTTCCCTCGTGAGCAACAACATCAATGGTGGTCGAGTCGCCGCTGCTCTTCATTTTCGTACAGAGAGAGAGAGAGAATTAAAGAGGAATGAGGAGGAAAACTAAAGCTTTGTAGCTAGGTGAGTAGAAATTGCTGAAGAGAAGAGATTCAAAAGCTTGTGATGAAAATGGTTAAATATGAGAACCTTTATATAGTGCAGCAAATAAGAAGATAGTTTATTTAAACTTGTCATGGAACAAATTTTAATTGTAAATTAATCGGTTAATGGGAAGCAAGAAGAGTTGCTAATGTTAGACTTTTTCTATAGAGCAAATGACGAGGTTTTATCTGGCAAATGGATCAAGTAGTAACCACTTCAATATTATATGCAAACTACGTACACATAAAGTTCTAAATAATATGGTTTTAATTAAGGAGGACGGATTATAGGAAACTTTGTGGCATTCCATGAAAGATCAAATGGGTGTAATGGAGTGGTTTACTTGGTCGTTTTTATTATATCATAGGGCACTTTAGCTTTTCAAGATATAATGCAGAAGAGAGAAGTTGGATTTTATCAAAGATTATTATAATTCAGGTCAAAGGTTTAATTGCACCAATGGCTAGATTTTTCGATGTGATTGAAACACAGGGTGGTATACCACGTGTCATTATACAATGATAGGATATGTGTGTTAAAAAATTAATAACTTAAATAATAAAGTTTCCTATCACTTACATAAAAACACGTGGTGTATCCCCTTGCACCACCAATGGTCTTTGAATTCTACTTCGAGTGTAATTTTAGTCCTGAACTCCTATATTAATTGCTTTATTAGTTAATTTAATTATGTCTTATACTCAGGGTCGGAACCAAGATCTCACCTGTGGGTGGACCAATATACAAAGCCTGAAAAATGTATGATGAAAAATGTATGATAAAACGTAAAAGGCCGAAATTAAGTATATATTTAAGCTGATAATTTCTTACGCGATCCGTTAACACGACATATAAACAACACGAAAATATCGGGTTTTGGATCAACATGATAACTAATCGGACCGTTATCAGGTCACACAATAAGAACCCATTAATAACGCGTCATTAACAGGTATACACAAAGATAACACGCGGAAACCCGTTACGACACGATATGAAAAAAATTATTTTGATTATTTTAATTTTTTAAACTACTAAAAAAACTGACTATATGTATTATTGTATTATTATTTTGTACATATTTAAAAAATTAAAGTTTTGTTTATTTATTTTTATAGTATGCTATAAGCAAAGAGTGTAATTAAAAAAAACTATAAAACACATTAAAAATAAAAATATCAAGTAATTTAAAAATACAAAGCACATTAAAAAAATTATAATAATTATTTTACAAGTGCAAAAAATGTGAAAAAATATGCAAAGGCTCATGAATAGTGTTTTTAAGGGAGTTCAAAATAAATAAAATTAATAATCATTAATGTACAAGTTTAATATGAAAGCATATATAAACGTGCAAGGTTCCTCAACCTTGAAACACAACTCTCTTCATTTTGTATATCCTTAACATTTGGTGTTTTGTAGTAATATACTAATATTTTTTCATTAGACTCTTATTTTGGAGTACGTAATACTTGACAAATAAATGTTTTTTTTTATGTTTTGGAATAATATTTATGTGACAATTTGGTATGCATATATTAATTTAGTATTATCTTTTCTATTATTTTTTTTTTTGCCAAATTATGTTTTTCATTTTCATTATTTATTGATTTAAAATTTATTTTCTTTAACAAGTAACGGGTTGAGTCATATTACCTGATAATGTTAATGGGTCGA